AAAAGACAACACAGTTATCCGTATCAGAGACAATAAAAGGCATAGAATTCTGTATAACAACATATTTCACATATTATGAAGAAAAAATATGCCATTAGAATGAAGAAATAGCCATGGTGCCGCCCGTTTCACCAATAGCAACTTACATATTAATGAATTTTTCGGAAGGAACTCCACTTAAAACATTCATGGCATCAATAAAGTGTTGGAGTTACGTATACGACACGTTACTAGTAGTGAAAAAGAATGGGGAATTGGGAAATTCTTCCCACTCATAAACAGTCCTGTAGACTCAATAAAGTTCACTATGCATATAGAGAATGGATTTAGGGAACTACCCACTTTAGGCTACAGTGAACAAAGATGAACAAATGGCAGCATAAAAACGACGATATATCGAAAAACCACACATTTTGGAGGATTCATTGATCATCACTCAGCTCCGCCCCTCACGGAGGAAAAAGAGTTTATACAAAGTATTGAGGATAGAATACGTAGGACTTACGACAAGACCAGATGACCAAAGAAAGGAAATAAAAATCTTAGTCGAAATTTTATTCGAAAACATTTATCCAAAAGAATTTATCAGAGATAATATTAGGACGAAAAGAAAGAGGGCAAAAGCAGAGAATGATAAGAGAGAGGATAAAAAAGAACAACAGTCAAAATGCCATAACAAATGATAAATCAAAGGACATTCCAAGATACCCCAGACGTAATGGGACGAATAAACCAAATAAAAGTGATGGATAAAAGAATTTAATGTAAGTTACAAAACATCTTGCGCTGAATGTCCGACCGAATATGTGGGTCAATCGTCTTTATCCACCAAAATAAGAATGAATGAACACTAATATTTAATTAACAGTCATCCTAAAAAAAAGCACAAACGTACAGTAATTTGAAAAAATTAATCCACAGCTGCACATGCTTGGGATAAAAACCACAACATTAGTTGGGATACCATTTGTATTCTAAAATCACATGCGAAGAAACGGAAAGACTAATTATAGAATAAATGTTCATTAAAGTCACGCTGAATACAAGTAGCAGCAGTGAGTTAGCACAACTTTCAACGATCTGCATATGATTCTGGAAACACAAAATTGGACAATACACATGTAATTACAAATTATAAATGCGTGGATCAAAAAACAGTTCCAACAGTTGGTGTGATCATGTGCATCAATTTTCCTCCAAATATTGGTGAAATACAAAACATTTTCATTGTGTATTAACTGGTGAAATAAGATAATAATTAATCAGGTGTGTTCCAAAATACACAAACTTTTCACAGCAATCACTTCATCTAACACTCCAGTAAAAAATGCATACACCAGCAGTGAAGAAGAACGACAAGACTGCAGTAATAATATACCACAAGATCAGAAGGCTGACTTACACTAAAGCCTGGACGTCCACATTTAGTGCTCCACGAAGAATATTTTTGGCAAGTCAACAAAATATTGACTAAATATTCTCCCTTCGATAGATTGTGAAACACAGGAATATTCACCTGCGTCCAGAAATTGCTGTATTTCTTGACCTAAATGCGCAGTTAGTCACCGTCAACTGACAGGTACTGTTGAGATGTTTGTCTGCGAAGGGAATCCCCAGAAGGCACATTGCACTAATCAAGATTCTACTCGAACTCACCCAGCCATCTAGAAGATTACGGGGAGTTGTCGTCTGAAGTGATGACAACCGGTGGTGTCCATCAGGGATGCTCACTGTCCCACTTCTGTTTAATTTCATCATCGATGTAATAATGGAATTAACCCTAACTGACTATGTGAAATAGGAAATGAATTATTAGCAGGAAGTTGTCTTGTTAACTTAGACTCTGATAAGCTTCAGTGTTTTGTGAACCGCACTGAACAGCATTTGTCAAATGTTTGGTATGCGATTTACTCCTGTCAAATGCAAGATGATGTTAGAGTACTGGACTACACCGACTTTTAGAGTTAAGAGAAGAGGGGAAGTGGTAGAGCGTGACTGTTTGACTGCTTCTCACTGACTGGTTTCAACATAGAACACTTCCAAAGGCATACGAAGCCTTCCTGAACATCATTCTCTTTCTGTTGACTGCTTCACTCACTTATGAAATCTCTTGAGTTATGACAGACTGATTGCTGACGAAATCTCAGCACGGATACAAAAGGCTTGTGTGGCATTTTTCAACTTACTCCATCTCTGGCGTAGACATGACATATCCGACTGTCAGTCGACCGAACGACGTGTGTACTGCTCATCAGTTCTCTGAGTACTCCTCTATAGATGAGACATGGTCATTGAGTGTGGAAGAGATGAAAAGGCTAGCTGTCTTTGATCATAGGTGGCTGAGTCCTGTCAGCCGTCCTAATAAGTGGTATAATGTGTTGAGCAATATTCAGGTAAGGCGTTAGTAGAGTGTTAGGTAAGGAGGGGAAGTTAGTGAATGGAGTTGTGCAGCCACGTCGACTGAGATAACCAGGATATGATATGCACACCTGGTTATCGTGGAAGCACGACTAGCGATGTTACCTAACATACTTCAGGTTGGGAAACGGCTAATGGTGGTCAAATTACAACTGGGAATCAATCCATCAAACCATGGATAGTTAGTTTGATCCACATAGAGGGAAGTAGACTACCTGGTTTGGCTCCTGGGTGTGGTGAGAACCAATAGCTGGAGACAATTGGTGGTGTGGCTCTACGTCGTACTCGATCGCACAGATGCACTCACCTCACCCTTTGTGATCTCCCGTATCCATTAAACCCTATTGTTTTTCCATGTTACTATTCTTTCTCCTTCACATTCTGTATATTATCGTTCTTTCCAATCGCTCCCTCTCTCTCTCTACTCTCTTCTGGTGCTGATATGTATCCATTTATATATTTATGTGTGTGTGTATGTTGGTCTGTCTTTCTGTTTGCTCTCTTAGTCTGTGACCATTTCACTTGTATGAACTTGTCTCCTTTAACAATGTATATTCTCCTCATATTATATATAATATAATATGAGTGTTTGTTGACAGTCCGTTGCTTAGTGACATATATCCATATATGGTGGTTGTTGACATGTCTGCTATATTTTGCTACATATATATTTCGTTATCACAATTTGTGTGATTTACTTACTTTCTTTTGGTGTGATACCACTTTTGCATTCTCCTTGTGTTTGGAAAATAGAAGTATCATCGCAAGCCTAGTGGTCTTCTGATTTCCGCCTTCTTGTGTCAGGACTATTCAATTCTCGACCAGACCATAACAATAATTTAGCGACGAGTACATAACAGGTGCTTATTTATTATCCCTTTGAATCTAATTTTTCTCTGTTTTGTGTGCCTTTGTGTAGTACATGGAGTGTGTCAACTGGAAGTGCTGCACTTTTGTGCGAAGTTCTGTGTTGAAATCAGTCAGTCAGAAGGGATTTCTGAAATGAGTAACAGGAGGTTAGTCATGAGTAGAAGTGGTTATATAATTGTAACAGTTACGTTTACTCAATCAACAAGCAGGCAGTGTAGACGAAGATCTGTGTTGAAACCAGTCAGTCAATGCTATGCATAGGGACGGGAAGGCCGTCAAGCGGGTTAGTTGTGTGCCTATAACACAAATTCATGGCAACACTTAGTTGTAGTCATCTTACAGAGTGGTCAGCTTACCTCTTATTGGAAAATACCTTCTTGTTTTACTTCAGAAAGGATGAAATGCGATTTCGTGAGAGAGTGCTTCCATAAGTATAAAACTTCGGCGCTGGGGTACATTATAACTCCACAATGGAAAAGATTTTATTTTGGTAAAATTTTACTTTATTTTACTCATGTATATAAGTGAAGCAAAAAAGTTGTGTGAGTTACTTGATATGATTATGAGCAATAATTTGTGCTCGAAACGTCATCCACTATTACCACTGTATAAGACTGTGTGATTTATCAAAATAAAGTCTTATCCATAATAGTGCTTCCATAACTTATTAGTATACCTTAATTGTAATTTTATTCAACACTCACCTTATACGGGAAAACATGAGTTATTCTTCACTTTTAACCAGGAAATAAACATGTTTCAGGATTTCATCATGAGCTGACATTAGTTAGAGGACCATTGGAAAACCTGGTAGTACTGGACAGCTGTTTCGTCCTTGTTTGGGACTCTTCCTCAGTACGCACCCACCGGGATTCGAACCCAGTGCGTTCCGGTTACAATGTGAGCTCACATACTATTAAGCCACCGGGACCCGATTCAATGGTCCTTCGATTCTAACTTCTGTCAATTCACGACATAGCGAAACCGCTAGCCAATGTCTTCGGCGAGTATTTGTCCTCACACCCAACCCGCTGCACCCTACTGGTCACTAATCTGAGAAAACTGCTGATTGTGATCTCGTGCCGAGCCTTCGAATTTTTCTGAGTAGGAGATAACAAGTGGGGCGACCGAGTGCGACAGGTAGGTCAAGTGAGGAGGGAATGAAACTTTATATGCAATCATGGTGCTAGCTGAAGTAGACTGCAGAAAACACAGTTAAATGGTGATGTGGTGCTGAAGCATTACTTCCCACACAAAGGAATAATAACATATCAGACATGCATTTAAATGTTATCTACTTTGAAATGGACCAATTCCATGGTATTTGCTAGTCTTGCCGTACTTTGATAACTTGACGAAATCAACATGTTTATCTTTCTTCATCTCAGCTTATACTAGTGCAGGTCGTACTATGTTTTCAACGAAAATCTCAATACTAAAATGAATACATTCCAAATTTCCTACATAAACCATACTGGATAGTGAAGATAATTAAAAAGCACGTGTACATTAGTCAATGTGTACTTATTTTATGAATTCACAATGCAACCATTGCATATTATATATATCATATTATATTATGCTATATTATATTATATTATATATTATAACGCATATCTTATTGAAAAATGTTAATTCTATAACAGTCAGCAGTTAGTTCGGTTATTAAAAATGGGCTTTCTTATATTCACTTGAGGACCACAATAATATGCTCAAGAGAATTTGCATTTAGAAAAATCCATTTCCGGATGAGCGGCCATAAACTTCTTCAACATTTCCTGCTTTTTCTGATCTTCTGATGTTGGTAAGCCAAGCTCTTTTTGACGTTGGTCGTACATCATTTTCTCCACCATTGATCGAGTTTCACCGTCTAGGTCAGACAGTTTAGAATTTTCTGGTTGAACCTTTCGTGTATTTAATTCAGGTTCACCTTCACAGATACGAGACCACCATTCCATCTTGTTTACTTTTTCTAGATTAACTGATATAACAAGTCCATCTACAAGACTCCACGAACATTCTTCAACCTAAGAGAAAGGCAAATTGAACAAATTATTCACAAGGTACTACGGATAATTTACAGAAACAACCTAATGAATTTAGCGGAATTACAAAATATGGTGGTCGCATGGGATTATTCACTTACTTTTTTCCTTGTCTAAATAAATGACAGGTATAACCTACGAAATACAAGAAGTGGTTCAGGTGGAGGTTTATGTTTAAAAGTATACATGGAAAATAGAGCACAGACATTTATGATTAAAGATAGATAGCCCTTTCACATCTTTAATTTTCAATCACCATGTCTCACGGACAGAAAGGGTGATGGGAAGTGCTGTGCAGTACACAAGTTCTTCGGTCGATAGGGAGATATCACATCTTCGCCAGAAATGATGAAAACTGACAACTGCTACACGAGAATTTTGTCAGCAATAAGGCCATTAGGGTTGATGAGAATTCCCGAATGAGTGAAGCAGCCAACTGTGCGTCTGTGGCACGGTGGTAGAAGGTCAGGTTGGGCATGAGGTTAGTAACGTCATCCCGTAGAAATAAACACCACTGCTACCGAAACCGAAAAGCTCTAGCTTGAAGCCCTATGTTCCACTGGGAATTTAAAGGAATAAAAAGAAAGAATTTCGACAACACAATAAGAAGATGTAGTTTATCTGAAACTTGTAATGGCGCGACACATTTGGCTGCAACAACAAATGAAATCGCCAGACACAATTGACCCTGGAATTAGATGTCCAACATCATCTATAGTGAAGCATATTATATAGACGGGTCACAAGGTTGATTTCAATAATGCCTTTAAGCCTATATATAAAAACAAGGTTGAGTCACATACTTAAATTCATTGAAGCCTTAGCCGTAAAAGACTTAAACCTGTCTTATGTGCTCAAAAGCTATTTGTTATCACCTTAAACCTGACTTGGTAATCCAAGTTAGAACCAAGGACCAGTTTACTTCATAATATTTTCAACCCCTTCTTTGCCTTGTTTTACTCTTTTCTCTTAATGTCCTTCTCACCCGCACCTTACGCGTCTCCCTACCCATTATTTGTGACCTTGACCTGTACACAATCTGACCTGTATTGTAATTATTCATGCCTTCTTGCCTTCTGTAAAAACTGTGTATGACATGTGCGTGTGTGATCAGAATGTCTGAAATGTGTTGCGCCAATACATTACAAGTTTCAGATAAACTACGTCTTCTTATTGTGTTGTCGAAATTCATAAAGGGAACCAATTGCTTTGAAAAGAAAGAAGTGGTCAACACTCTCTGCCATTTCACTCCTTATCTTTATACTAAGAACCGACGGAGACCAGACCTATAGCTGTTATTTTGTGAACACAGTAAGAAGTTGGCTGCTGCACATACGTTGTACCTATGTTAAGCGGAAGATGACGCCACAGAACTACACTGTAGTGACTGCTTGCTTAGGCATAACGAAAACGAGATGGACGGCAGGTCGTTCTGCCCTAGTTTACGGCTGTTAGGCATATTCATCATAAGTAGGAATATAAACAGATGGGTTTCTTTTCGCAAAGACGCCTTCATCCAACGACTCACTTTAGATGGAGCAAACATGATATGTAGTACTAAGATTAGATAGCTGGACAAACAAAGGAAGTAAATCGATGATATAGTAAAGCCTCACTCACTAATGCTGTTTGGTTGATGGCGGCTAGCAGTGGAACAAGACTTTGGCGGTTGGAACGGCGGACGCTTGGTTCGAGTCACAGTGTCACCACTATCACTCACTGGGAATAACGGTATATCCAGTTCAAGCAGAGTGACATGACTATATTGGATTTCAATCATAGACGCTACTAACCGATGACACATGTTTACCTTATAACATATTGTCAAAGGGTGCGTACTAGGATAGGAGCTGACATGTCAACAGAGATACAGCATTTAGGTCCGATATAAATTAATCAAAGTGAAATGCAAACTTGAGCGAATAACTTCATTCACTAAGGTGGCTAGGAAACAATTTGCGTATGTTGAATCCCGGACTTCCTTGATTAGTAACGTTAGCTGAGGTAGGATTAGGCTGAAAAAGAGGTGAATGGCCTCATCAAAAAAATGGTATCAAGCCGTGAGCTCATTAGTCTAAGCTAAGTTGACTGTTTCATTGGTGCCAATGAGTTGCCAAGAATGAATTGTAACAAACTTACCAAGGAGGTTGTAAGAACTATTGGACAAAATAAATGTTAATGCGATGTGAAACACCCTTACCTTAACTTCATTGTACAGCTTTCCGGATAAAATTGGTTCTTTATTCTTTAAGCCGATTTTAATATGCCTCCTAGAAATTTCTACACAAACATCACGACATTTGACTTGATGAGGCAGCTATAATGAAAAGAAACAGAAACCTTTTAAAAGGTTAATCATTGAAAATATCATCAACCACAATAAAATAATGAAAAATATTTTGTTGGACGTTCCTATAGCATTTACCCCGTATTGGTTAACATATCATATTGAGGTGAGCTATGACATGCCCGAGATATCTGACCCAACTCAATTAATCTTTACATCCTGCACAAAATGACCAGTACTATGGAGGAGACGATGGCCAAACCCACATTTAGTCTCCACAACTTAGACATCTGTATTGGTTGTGTTTAGCATCTGTTTTATCCTTTGACAACCATGCTGGTGGAATACATAGAACAACCAACTGTTTAATTCTAAAGCACAATATTACTTCTGATCATGCAGCTTTAGCAGAAGCATCATTCACAGTTATATAAAATGAAATAAAACTTGTCATGGGGTTTAAGTGCCTTCTATAAGAAAAAAACCTGAACTTTGTGTCCAGAAACGCTTTTATTCAGTCTCTTTCACATACTATGGTCTTAGTGTAAGTTTTGGGTTTTTCATCTGTACCATAGTAAACTCTGTATAATCTCTGGGCCAACTTTCAACCCTCTCATCTTGTTTCTTAACAATTAACACTGTATATGTCATTTCCGTATTTTTATTTTCAGTGGGCATTTTATTTTGAAGTAATTTTTGGAACTTTCGTAGGTCTAATTGACAAGAAAAGAAGATATAGTGTGTTGTCGAAATTTTATAGTTTTCTTTAGATTACGGTATAAAGTCTGATTCTCTTAACACGTATTGAAAAGTGAGTATTTTAACATGTACAGGGTTCTATGCGGAAAAGTATATACCATTTTAAATAAAAACGTACCCGGGTCGGGACTTTGATATCTACTTCACCTAAAGTTTGGTACCAACTATAATTTGGCAGGTCGGCTCCATTTCCTTCATTCGGTCTCAATTTCCCCTTGTCCTCCTCTTCTTCCTCATCATCAGGGGAAGGGCCAATATTGATCGGCTTTGGAACAGGACAATCCTTATCAAGTGTCTTTGTTTCCTGGGAATCAGATTTATCTGATACTTGTTCACTGTTTCCATTCACCTGACTTGTACTTGGATCCACAGGAGGAACATGGTTGGCTTCAATGATTTCTTTCTTCTTTTCAGCTCTTCGCTTGCGTTCACGTTCTTCTCGTTCTCGAAGCTCTTTTGTCTCTTGTTCATGGCGTGCTAAAGCAGCATCCTGTTTTTACACGAAATTACATAAAACATGAGCAATATTCGGTTGTGTAGTAACAAGACATTGAAAAAATACGATAATCCCTGGGAAATCCATAATCAGCTACTTGGAGAAACAATTGCATTAATCTTAAACAGTAGCCGAAGGGAGTTAATGCAAATCAAAAAGACAGTTGGTGATATGGTTCAAAATCGTTCTAAGCGATGCAAGCGAAATCACTTTTTGTAATCTCCCAGATTTATTAAATTCCCATGTTTCTACATACTTGTCTTCCTTTTGTACATTTCTGCTCCTTGTAGTCCTCTTGAGTGTAAGCAACATGGAATGTGGCAACCTGAACTGCTACACTTCAATACAAAGTTCTATTTAAAACTATTAGTCCCTTCTATAAATTTGGATAGTGTTATCAGAAGACGGAGACTATCTGAAAAATGTGATGCATTTGTGCAATAGTTCTACGTTAAAACTCAGTCAGTGCACATTGAAATCCGAGTACGGATTGCTAATGATTTCATGAAAAGCATTAATACTAAACTGCAAGTTATATAGCTGCACTGTCAATCAAGTTATATAAAGACATAATTCATCTCAAACGTGTAATGCATTTACGCAATACATTACGGACATTTTAGTCACTCACGTACTTGTCATAAACATTTATATAAAAGGTAACAGCATAAGTGATTATTATATATATCAAATTTCAATAGGTCAAGATCACAGACAAGAAGTAGGAAGATTACGCAAGAATATAAAGGAAGAAAAAGATGAGAAGTGGGTAACAATACCAAGTAAATTGAACCTTGGTGATATAGTTGTAACACCAAAGCAGTAATGACAAATAATTCTGAACACATGAAACAAGCTTAAGTCTTTTCAACGAATTTAAGCAAATAAACTGAGTCTAGACCTTGTAGTTAATTTCAGTGTACTGTACTATTTAGTGAATGCATGTGACAGGGGAGCACTATATACTGAATCTACAAAGAATTAACACGTAGTATACATCAAAATACACGATAAATCAAAGCGGAAATATGATTAGAAAACGTACACGATGCTTTGCAAAGTTTTCAAGAACTAAGCGTTTGGCATCTTTTTCAGTAGCTCCAAAGTAGAAATCAGTTCGTCTGGATAGGAAACCGAAGAAAGAGTCCAACAATCCCTGTACTCCATTCTCACAACTTTGTGCAACACTCAAAAACACATTATCATACTCCATTTCCTAATAGCTATAAAAGAGAGAGAAAACTAATCAGTTCAGCAACCCTAAAGAAAATCAGAACTAGAAACAAAGAGCTAATTTATATTTGACAGAAATAATCAAAAGCCATTAATAGCACGTAAGGATGAAAAATTATCATCGCCAGTTTTGAATGCACTGATTGTTTCAGAAACCAGCGTGACTAAATCAAGCCAGCTGTTAACAGCAATACGTAACTTTCGTAACTGTTTATTTCTATCACTAGGAGTAATGGGAGCAGTAAATGTGCAAATGAGACTAGAGCCATCTTGCTTTAACTGTTCCTTCACTGTAGATCTTGGAGGAGGTGGATCCACTGAAAGTGAACGCAGGGCGACAGCTGCAGTGTTAGGATTATCGAATGAAACGCGCACAGAAAGGCTATGTTCACCAAATTCAAGTTCTTTTTCATTTAGGTTCATCTGGCTGTATAGAGCTAGGAAGTCTAAAAGATAAAACTACAACAGTACACGTACGGTACAGAACTTTTCGCTTCTTGAATTTCCCGTTCTATTTCACGACGTACGTTTTCACTCAACTTCTACAACATTAGTTTAAGATATATTTGAGAATCACTTCTCGTTCGAGAGCCTGAGCAATATGTACGCCAACAAATGCAGAAAGTGCAAAGACACAAGACACTCCCAAAGTAATTTTAGAAGCTGTTGACATGAAGTCTAAAAAATGTAATAACATAGTATAGTGTATTGATATGGAATATAGGCAGTAAGTCAAGCCAAATATCTGATAAATGCTCGTTAAAAGGAGACGCAGAAAACTCACCTAGTATTGTATCCCTGAGCAACGTCATCAATGAATATACGCATTTCTGAAAGACTCCATATAGACAAACTAAGAAAACGCCTTACATGTACGAATACTTAAGAGTTCATTTCAAGTGTTGGCATCATTTATTTTCCACACTTAAATACTACAGCCGTATTAAGCTAACACTGACGAAATGCTCCTGTCACAGAGAACTCCGATGAACTCAATGCATCACGTTTCTTACTAATTCAGTTAAGATATATTAATATTAGTGGTGGATACCTTAGATTTACATCTGTCTAACGCTTCAAAAGCTTAGCGTGCAATGAAACAGCTGGATGTTCTCAGTTATATTTACTTAATACTTAAAAATTTTATATATATATATATATATATATATATATATGTACATGTTAGGTAGCTAGCAGGTAACTTGATGTGTGCTGTAACACATATTTTGTTTTCACCATAGGTCTTGCGACTTAGTTAACTAGTTTATAGATATTAGGGTTGAAAAAAGGGTATTCCAGAAATAAAACCAATATTGCCAGTTTTAAAAGGGCGAGGAACACATCGCCATACTACTGATTGACGCCTCAACTTTAGTAATTACTTCAAATCACGCACTTCGGCAAAAGGCAAAGTAAACAAACTAATAAAATCATGCGACAAAATAAGAAACAGCAAGAATAATTGGACGAATGATGGTGTAGCTTGGACGATAGCACAGCTGGAATTCAGCTACTTTGGACACACTTCTCATGTAACAGGTTTGGAACATACTCGTAAAATGTAAGATGCTGCTACAGTACTGGACTACGTCAGTGATAGGGAGTGATGTCTGTCTGTCTGTTTTCGACATAGAACTTTGCACAAATGTGCAGCAGTCCAAGTCGCCACACTCCGTGTAGCACGCGAAGCAAGAGAAGAAAGTACAAGAAAAGCATAATAGAGACAGCAAGGAGAGGTGTGAGACAAAGGAGTAATAACGAAGAACAAAACAGTTTCATTGGAGATCATAAGTCAGGAGTGGATGCATCTGCACCAGCCATTGAGAACGATAGCTTTGAGCCATGTCACCATTGTTTCCAACAATAGATTTTTACCGTCTCGAGGACCCCAACCCGTCAGGAAGTCTACACCTTCCTACGTGGCTTAGACCAACTGTTGTGGATTTCATTGACTGGTGCCAAGTTTTTGTTTGACCGCCGCTAGCTTTTTTCCAGCCTGACCCTATATCCGCTAACATTGCTCGTCGAGGGAGGCGATGGCTTGGCATACGTAACACATGTCCTAAGCATCTCAGTCTTTGTAACTTCACGACTTCGTCGATTGATTTCCCCTGTTTACCTAGAACTCGACGCCTAACCTCAATGTTGCTCACCTTATTATGCCATTTTACACGGGAAATAGAGCGCAGGCACCTATGATCAAAGACAGCTAGCCAGCATTTTCATGTCTTCCACTCTCAGTGGCCAGGTCTCACTAGCAGCCATAAAGGAGGACGGAGAGGACTGATGAGCAGTACACCCGCCCTTTGGTCGATAGTCGAACATCTCGTCTACGCCAGAGTCGGCGTAAACTGGCAAATGTGAGTCGAGCCCCCTGTATCCGTACTCAGCTGAGATTTCGTCAGAGATCAACCCGTTGGCACTGGCTGATGGTACTTCCCAAATAAGTGAGGCGGTCAACGTGCTCTACCACTTCACTTCCTATTTTTAAACTAGGCGTCGATGTAGTCCAGTCCTGTAACATCATCTTGCATTTGGCTGGAGCGAATCGCATGCCAAACATTCGTAGATTACAGCTCAAGGTGTTTAGAAGACTCTGCATTTAGTCAGCGTTCTCGCCTAGAAGGACTATATCGTCTGCATATTCTAAGTCAACGAGATTATTCCCTGGTAGCAAGTCAATCCCTGAGTCGCTGAAGTCACTTAGGGTTAAGTCCATTAACACATCTATGATGAAGTTGAATAGAAAAGGGGATAATGGGCATCCTTGACGGACACCACTAGTCGTCACCAGTTCAGATGACAGCTCGCCGAGTGAAGTGATAGAACATGTTGACCACTTCACCTATTTGGGAAGTTGTATCAACACCAACGGACTGATTAGCGATGAAATCTCAGCACGGATCCAAAAAGCCCCAGCTGCTTTTGCTAACTTACGCCATCTCTGGCGTAGGCGTGACATCCGGCTGGCTATCAACCAAGGGACGTGTGTACTGCTCAGCAGTTCGCTCCATCCTTCTCTATGGCTCTGAAACATGGCCAATACGCGTTGAAGACATCAAAAGGTTGACTGCTTTCGATCATAGATGTCTACGATCTCTGTCTCGTCAGGTGGTTTAATAAGGTAAGTAATGTTGACGTTAGGCGTAGAGTATTGGGCAAAGAGAGAAAATCAATCGATGAAGCTATAAAGTTACATAGATTGAGATGGCTAGGGCACGTGCTGCGCATGCCTAACCATCGCCTCCCCCGATGGGCATTACTAGCTGATATAGGTGCAGGTTGGAAAAGAGTAAGTGGTGGCTAAACAAAAACATGGCATCAATCCATGAAATCCTTGACAGTTAAATTGAGTCAGGTAGGGAGATGAAGACTACCGGGTTGGGGCCCTCGGGACTCTAAGAATCAATGGCTGCAGACATTAGGTAACATGGCTCAAAATTGTTGTAAATGGTGCAGATGTTTTCAATCTCTGTAACCTTTCATATTCCTTTCTACCATTACCCATTCTGTTTCACTCTTATACTTGTCGAACCCTATTGATTTTCTTCACTCATCTTCTTGTCTACCTTTGTGTGCTATTTGGAAGGTGGCAACTCGAACTGCTGCACTTCGGTGCCAAGTTCTATGTTGAATCCAGACAGACATACTCTTTATATGAAGCTGATGACTACTTGCCTTTCCAAGCTCGTATAGATGAAGAGGGAATTGAAATGGTGGACAAATGGCTGGAATTTCGGTATTAAGGGGGAAGACAAAGAGTCCAGAATTATCGTATAAATACTGAATTTAATCAGTCAGATGTCTATAAATCTGGCATGAGGTAATGAGGAAGATGACTTTAAAACGCGTTAACAGGAAGGAGCCGACAAAGAAACGTACTAGTGGATGTCTCAGTGACCGGCCTATTAGCACGGAGATAGTTAACTTATTCACAGTTCGTATGCATTACTGTCACTTCAGATAAACAGCCAAAGCGTGAATAGAGGGCTGGCCGTGCACTCCACCCAACTATAATATAAGATGATGCATGAGGGCTGATATTCCCTAGCTCCCAGTTTAGAAATGGGTGGCTATGTTGATGGACATGTTGACTAATGCGAATATTTCTGCAGTTATTAACTTCGAAAGAGAAAAGACAAAGACGAGTAATAATTAATGTTAGCGCAAAACAACATATCCTCATCCATATACATACCGCTAACCCTTCGCTTTCTCAACGAAAAGTTAGAATGAAATTTTTTTTGAATATCTTGTGACTTCCCAGCCCAAGACCATTCCCATTTATTTACTACTATAAAATATCCGTTACTAGAGCTCATTGATAATTGGTCATTTCAGTAACGTGATACACTTTGTCTGAAGTATAGTGACCTCAGCAAACGAACATTCGAAACGATAAATTTATAAAAATTAACTAATTACACTATACCATATAAGTACCGAAAATCAGTAGCTTATATAATCAGCAGTTTTCTCCTAGCTTGTCTCTGGAGTTTCGGTATCAGTTTATGTCACCAGTGCACAAAATACTCTAGATGACAATATATTGTCATTTTTGACTTACTTACTTACTTTACTTCGGCTATCTCCTACGGGAGGATGAGCCGGCTTCATGAACCATGAAGTTTCATGGGAATTGGGTACGAGTGATGTCCCCAGCATCGCTCGGCCTTTTGTTTGAGAGTGCAGCTCTAGCCTTTACACAACCAAGTGTGACCTACAAGGCAGTAGGAGTGGAGTAGGGAGTCCACTATCCATTGGCAGCCAGTGCCCGGAGTCCGGTTCATTCGCCTTTTTGAATGGGGCCAGTCATCCAGGGCATCCAATAAGCCCTTTGTCCATACGTCTGCCGGTGAGCTCCGGTGAGCTTCCTACGCCAGTCGTTGGAGGTCTGGAATCAGGGTTTAGCCATCTCCCCTAGACTGTCATCCAATGGACAGTAAACCCGGTGAAGAGCGCCGGGCATCCGCTTTTGCCCTCTCACTTTGGTGAAAAACACCTCCGCCACGTGAAGGCAGTGAGTAGGACTTCCTCAGGAGAGGCTATGTAAGACGCCCGGACATATGGGAGCATTTCAAGAGGTGTACGGAGGGGTGGCCAACCCGCAGCGCAAGACACTCACCCCCGACCATCCTGAGGCTTTAGACCCGTTTATCTCTATAATACTCGACTGAAATTAGTGCTCGTCTCATCCATAACATCAACGGTGACTTAACTATAGCAGCCCGAAACGAAACTACCTAATGAACGGACTAATGACCTTGACGAATTTAGTTACAGAAGTTTGAAGATCCCGAAACCTCTGTGGGTGGCCGCGGAAGCACCAAACTGAATTGACAGTTTGCCCACAGCCTCTTGAACAAACGGACGGAAATCCGGATATAATTATCATCACAAAGACATGGCTCACACCCGATGTC